TTACCACACACATCCCCCATATGACTATGTACAACTTTGGACTCAATGATACAACATAAAGAAAGATGCTTTAAATTAATAAGATCACGTACCTCCTTTTGCTTTATTAGGGCATTTAGTCCCCTAATATTCCACGCAGCGATCTTTATCATTGAGAGATTGAAGTGGATTTTGCCCCTTTACTATAGTCCAAAGAATGCCCCTCAGTGTCAATTATTTCCATATCATCATCATCACTAGAATCATCAGAAGGTAGTGGGGAAAATCTATTACTAGTAGACGTAGAGGAAACTGCACCACGTCTTGGTTTCATCGCTTGAATCACCGCTTTAACAAGTTCTGGACCCCCCCCCTTTGATCGAAAAGTCACATTCGATAAATCATCCCTTCCTCTTGGCGTTCTCCCCGCATCCACCGTACAATAATGACTTTCATCATGTTCCCTACGTTCCCCAACTGAGAGATCAGAATCAACCGACTGAACTACCTCCTTATCCTTTTTATTCACTCCCAATTTAGACGGTTCATCAGAAACCGGCTTTATAGTACCAACTCCAACTATTGTCTCGTGAAAATTAGAAGGTTCACCTGAAGAAGTAGCCTGAGCACCATTACTAGACCTTGAACTTTGTTTCGGCTTCCATTGTGTACGCTTTTTCTCTATAAACCCATCATTATGCAACGGCTTGACAATCCCCTTTTGTTTTTGAATACCCCCTTTCAGACAGGAATTCGTATTATGGCCAAAAACTTTGCATTTCGAACATTGAGAAGGCACACAATCATATTCCATAACTACCTTTATCACATCTTCACCATCACCAGAAAGCCTTGGAATGACAACTTCAATTTGCTTCTGAATTTCACCCACGGCCCAAACATCCACCAAAACTTTAGCAAAATTAGCACGACCCCATGCTTTATCACAAGTACTAGCAGTACAAGCATCCAAACGCATAGGGACTCCAACTGCACTAGCAATTCGGCTAATACCCTCTCTATTAAAAGCAACAAGAGGAATATTATAGAATTTAATCCATAACGGACAGGAGGTATGTTCAGGTTTAGTAAGCCCCTTTGAAGGATCCCATGTGGAGACAAAAAGAGGCCTCCCACGAATCATAAGGGGAGACGACTCAACCACTTGATTGCAGCCACCATTATGATTAAATCGAAAGAAAAAGTATCCAAGGTCGTTTAACATTGCATCCTTAAGCCCAAACTTGCCCCAAGCTTTTTGAACCATACGCAGAAAAATTGGAAAAGGAAGACGAGGTCCCAAAATATAGCCATAAAGAACCGACTGGAAGGATTTAGCCATATCCCTCGTAGTTTCCAAAGTAAATTGAATCCTCGGTTTCACGTTCTTCTCAACCGGATAGTACTTCAGTTCTTGAGTTGAAGTGCTACCAACAATTTCAGCAAAAGACTTTTGATGGTGTATATTATTCCCACCCAAAACTGCAGGAGATATGCGCTCCCATACCGAAACCCTTTTAGCGGGACCCAAATTTTCACCAATCCCCTGCACCCCCATGCAAAGGAGTACCAAGTCACCAATAACCGAGTCTCCAAGAATGACCTCCGCAAAATCCTTAGGAGAAGGATCCTCCAAAATTGTATCCGCAAAAGTTTAACATCATTACCACACGACAAAACAAAAACCTAACTCCCCCTATCCCCGGTCAAGAAGCCGCGGTGCTGAAACCCTTAAAGAGTGTCCTCAATAAAATAAACGAAGACCCCACAAGGAGGTGCTGAATATTCTATTAAATAGCTCAAGAAAGGCAACGAATACCACAGAAACACTTGACACAAGAAATAAGAAAAACTAGATAAAACCCACTCAGAAGATCACGAAGAAAATATTGAATAAGCCACAAAAGATCAAACTCCAAACCAAATATCACCAAATCGATCAACAAAGCCACGAGAACCAAGCACACGAACTACCAAGAAGGAAAAAAAACCAAGAAGGAAACCCTAGCCGTGGCCGTAAACCCTATCATGCAAAAACCTTCAAAATGACACTAAATGGGTCGTAACTAATCTGATTAGACTCTAATGGGGTTTTAGGCTCGTTTTTCCATTTATTGACACAAAATGACACTAATTTGGTCATATTTANTCATCACTAGAATCATCAGAAGGTAGTGGGGAAAATCTATTACTAGTAGACGTAGAGGAAACTGCACCACGTCTTGGTTTCATCGCTTGAATCACCGCTTTAACAAGTTCTGGACCTCCCTTTGATCGAAAAGTCACATTCGATACATCATCCCTTCCTCTTGGCGTTCTCCCCGCATCCACCGTACAATAATGACTTTCATCATGTTCCCTACGTTCCCCAACTGAGAGATCAGAATCGACCGACTAAACTACCTCCTTATCCTTTTTATTCACTCCCAATTTAGACGGTTCATCAGAAACCGGCTTTATAGTACCAACTCCAACTATTGTCTCGTGAAAATTAGAAGGTTCACCTGAAGAAGTAGCCTGAGCACCATTACTAGACCCTGAACTCTGTTTCGGCTTCCATTGTTTACGCTTTTTCTCTATAAACCCATCATTATGCAACGGCTTGACAATCCCCTTTTGTTTTTGAATACCCCCTTTCAGACAGGAATTCGTATTATGGCCCAAAACTTTGCATTTCGAACATTGAGAAGGCACCCAATCATATTCCATAACTACCTTTATCACATCTTCACCATCACTCGAAAGCCTTGGAATGACAACTTCAATTTGCTTCTGAATTTCACCCATGGCCCAAACATCCACCAAAACCTTAGCAAAATTAGTACGACCCCATGCTTTATCACAAGTACTAGCAGTACAAGCATCCAAACGCAAAGGGACTCCAACTGCACTAGCAATTTGGCTAATACCCTCTCTATTAAAAGCAACAAGAAGAATATTATAGAATTTAATCCATAACGGACAGGAGGTATGTTCAGGTTTAGTAAGCCCCTTTGAAGGATCCCATGTGGAGACAAAAAGAGGCCTCCCACGAATCATAAGGGGAGACGACTCAACCAGTTGATTGCAGCCACCATTGTCATTAAATCGAAAGAAGAAGTATCCAAGGTCGTTTACCATTGCATCCTTAAGCCCAAACTTGCCCCAAGCTTTTTGGACCGTACGCAGAACAATTGGAAAAGGAAGACGAGGTCCCAAAAAATAGCCATAAAGAACCAACTGGAAGGATTAAGCCATCTCCCTCGTAGTTTCCAAAGTAAATTGAATCCTCGGTTTCACATTCTTGTCAACCGGATAGTACTTCAGTTCTTGAGTTGAAGTGCTACCAACAATTTCAGCAAGACTTTTGATGGTGTATATTATTCCCACCCAAAACTGCAGGAGATATGCGCTCCCATACCGAAACCCTTTTAGCGGGACCCAAATTTTCACCAATCCCCTTCAACAGCACCTCCGTTGCACCCCCATGCAAAGGAGTACCATGCAAGTCACCAATAACTGAGTCTCCAAGAATAACCTCCGCAAAATCCTTAGGAGAAGGATCCTCCAAAATTGTATCTGCAAAGTCTAACATCATTACCACACGACAAAACAAAAACCTAATTCCCCCTATCCCCGGTCAAGAAGCCGCGGTGCTGAAACCCTTAAAGAGTGTCCTCAATAAAATAAACGAAGACCCAACAAGGAGGTGCTGAATATTCTATTAAATAACTCAAGAAAGGCAACGAAGACCACAAAAACACTTGACACAGGAAATAAGAAAAAGTAGATAAAACCCACTCAGAAGATCATGAAGAAAATATTGAATAAGCCACAAAAGATCAAACTCCAAACCAAAGATCACCAAATCGATCAACAAAGCCACGAGAACCAAACACACGAACCACCAAGAAAAGTAAATAAACGGCACAAACCCTAGCAAGCAAAAAACCCTACGGCCAAGAAAAAAAACCAAGAAGGAAACCCTAGCCGTGGCCGTAAACCCTATCATGCAAAAACCTTCAAAATGACACTAAATGGGTCGTAACTAATCTGATTAGACTCTAATGGGGTTTTAGGCTCGTTTTTCCATTTATTGACACAAAATGACACTAATTTGGTCATATTTAATTTGATCAGACCTTTTTTTTTTTGAAAGGAAACCAGGCAAATTTTATAAACGATAAAGGAAGTACATCAGAAACCAAACGTTAGACCACTAGTAGCAAAGAAAAGAACCCAAAGACTTGGCTACCACCAGATACCAAGCCACAACAAGTCAGAAAAAACAAAGCCCAACAGACCGAAACAAACAACAAAAAATGAAAAAAAMAAGGAGCATAAACCAAGCTCCCCAAACCCATAAACAAGCCATCAAATCAACCACCACTTCTCACATGCCTCCTTGACAACCAAACCGCACGAATTGAGATAGAATCATGAATGACTTTGGTAAGTTGTAAAGCTGTGCGGCGCTCACCAGTAAATAGTCGTCTATTTCGTTCCTGCCAAATATAATAAATAGAGGCTGTGATCGCAAGCTTCTGCATTAACCGCTTTGGACGACGACTAACATCCGAAATCGCTTCCAAAATAAGATCCCACGTAAGWGGGAAATTCTTYAGATCAATAATATGCAAGATACTATCCCAAACTTCACGAGCATAAGGACACTGAAAAAATAAATGGGAATGGCTATCCATACACTGATTACAAAGTGAGCAATTTAGATCAGGAGGCTCATCCTTCCAAATCATACGATCTTGAGTAGGRAGACGCTTTTGGCATGCGAGCCATAAACAAAATGAATGCTTAGGGATATGTCCCRAGAACCAGACCGCTTTGTACCAAGGAACAACCGGGTGGGTACCATCTAACAAAGCCCCCGCATTACTTACCGAGAAATCCGAAGTAGAAGTACGATCTTCACCCCAAAGAACTCTATCACGAATTGAATCAGTCAATAAAGGTAACGGAACAGAATGCAGCTCAGCAAAATGACAATGCCACTCATCCGGCCAACCGCCATTCCAATTCATCARAAGATCATGAACCGTTGTAAAAGTTGATAATCCACAAGAATGGACAAACCGATTGATCAGACCTTAGTGGGTATAATGTGTTTGTTTCTTCAACTTGAGTCTAATTGAGTTGTAATGGTACTAAATGGGTCATAATTAGTCTAATCAGACGTAAATCAGAGTAATTGAGGTAGAATGGGTCTTAAGGGTCCTTAATGAGTCCATTTGGTGTTTAGTGGATATAATGGGCCCATTTCTCCTTGAGAAGTCCCATTGGGTCAAAATGACACTAGGTCATAATTAGTCCCATTGGGTCGTGAAAACCAGAAGCTCTGGAAGAGAGACCAGAGGGGCTCTGGTCCTGTGTTGAAATATTTTCTAAGTGTGGTTTAGAACCAAAGGCTCTGGTCGTGAAGACCAGAAGCTCTTGAAGAGAAACCAGAGGGGCTCTAATGGGACTAATTATGACCTACTGAAAGGGGAAAGGAATTCCCCAGGCAATTTTATAAAGACAATAAAAGCGTCACCAATACAAAAGCAATCAGCAAGAGAAACTACGGCAACTTTGACWCACAAACCAAGTCATAAGMAGCCGAAAATGACAAAGGGAAATACACCAAAACAAAACAACACCMCCCGCCAAAATACAAAAGGCAAGAAAGACCCAAAAGATCCAAAACCGAGAAGGAGCACCACCCACGAAGTCACATATCATTGGAATTCAAAAGCTTCTTCCTAGTCTTCCAAGCCATTCGATGAAGAATCTGCATCTTGATCACTGCAATAACTTTATCCTCCGAATGATTGAAATTGTCGAAGAACTTCCTGTTTCGTTCCCTCCAGATATTATAAACCGTTGCCGATAAACCAAGTTTCTGAACCGTAGACCAAGATTTCCAAGTTTGAGCGGATCCTCTGTGAAGAATATCCTCCCAACTGTTCGGATAAGACGTTAATCCCACCTCCATTTTAATGCCTTCCCAAATACTGCTAGAATAAGAGCATTCAAAAAATAAGTGATTGTGCGTTTCAATCACTAATTTACAGAACACACACTTTAAATCCGGTGGTTCATGCTTCCACTGACCGATACGATCTTTGGTTGGCAATTTCATCTGGCAAGCCATCCACATACAAAGAGCATGTTTTGGAATGAAAGCTTTGTTCCAAACTAGTTTATACGATCTTGGGTTGACTAATTATGACCTAATTAGTGTCATTTTGACCCAACGGGACTTCTCAAGGAGAAATGGGCCCATTATATCCACTAACACCAAATGGACTTAGATTTATGTGCAAGAAGATGGTGGTGAAGTATGGATCGTACAAGGAAGATTGATGATTAATGCATGTTTTTCTTCACGCCTTCTTGCGTTGGTTGTTTTGCTTTTAATTGCTTTGTGTTTTGTTTGAAGCCGGTGTTGAAGGATTAGGGTTTTCTTCGGTTGGCATTTCTTCACGTTGGTTTTCTCGTGATTTCTGCTGTGAAGATAATCGATCTGGTTGGCTGGTTTCACGACGGGACTTGCGTTCGGTCTTGGATCTATTGGTGGTGGTGATAGGGTTTGCATGCTTTGTTGGTTTTTAAGCCGGCGGCTACTAGGGTTTCCTTTATATGGTATGCTTTCTGTTCGGTTTTGATCTTTGCTACGACCTAAGTTCTGGTTCGTCCTTTTCTGGTTTGAATTCTGGTTCGACTAAGGTTTGGCGCAACTAGGGTTTGGCTTGCGATTTAGGGTTTCAAGTGGCTGTTTCCATAGCTACTGGTTTTTTTCTTCTTTGTTACAAACGTCTTGGTGCTGAGATCCTTCTTTTGCTGAGTTTGGATCCTGTTTGATTGCTTGAGACTGTGTAGTGTGACTCGTTCTTAATCTGCTGTTACCTTATCGATTCTGCTGTCTTTGTTGTGATTTTATGCGACCGATCTGCTTTGCTAAGCGTGGTTTCTGTTTGGCTGCTGTGATTTGAAGGGCAATTCGTTGAGGATACCGACGGCTATTTCGTTTGGTGCAGTTCGATTCTGGTCATTTTGTGTGCTGGGTGGTTGCTTTTAATTCTGATTTGCTGCTGTTACCTTATATCTGCTGTACTTGTGATTTTATGCGACCGATCTGCTTTGTGGCTGGTTGTACTAAGCGTGTTTTGTTTGGTTGCTGTGATTTGAAGGGCAAGTCGTTAAGAATTCTGTTGGGTTAATCCGCTTGGTGCAGTTCGTTTTTGGTTTTTGTGTGCTGGGTGGTTTCGTCAAATCTGTTTTGCTGCTGTCAGTTGTTTTGTTTTGCTGCTGTTGAAGGTGGAGGTTAACAGTTGGTTCGTTTTCTGCTGGGTACTATCGTGGGTGAGTTTTTGCTTCCATTTGCTTGATTTAGCTGCTGTTTGTCTCGATTTTTCAGTTTGCTGCTGTGTGGTTGAGCGTGGGCTTGATTTGAGTCTCTCTTGTACTGGTTAAGGGTTTATGTGGTCTTCGTTGTTCTCTGAAAGTATTCCTAGTGGTTATTCAGCACCTCTTCGGGGGTCTTCGTCTAATTCACTTGGGTATTTAAGGAAACTTCAGCACCACGGCTTCTTAACTGGTGTAATGGGTGATGATAATCTTTCCATTGACCCTATTAGGGTTTCGGTTTTTGATAGACTTACTTCTGTGGATCAAAGTAAGGATTTGGGACATGGTGATCGATCTAGCCTGAATTTTGCTAAAGCGGTTGGCCGTTCTATGGCAACTGATCTGAATTTTTATCCCCTTGCGGACAAGAAACAGGCTCATGTCTCTATCCCTATAGAAATGGCGAAGGAAGCTGCCAAAGCCTATAACTCAGTTTTATACGGCTATTTCCTGGGACCCCGTATTCCTTTTCCTCTTGTGAAAAAATYTRTTAAACTGGCGTGGGGTAAATTTGGATTTTTGGATGCGATGCTTAATGAGAATGGTATCTTTTTCTTTAAATTTAATGACGTTGAAGGATGTGATCAAGTGATTGAGGCTGGCCCGTTGATGATCAGAGGCATTCCTTTATTTGTTCACCGTTGGGATCCGTCCAAAGGATTAAAAAAGCCGGAACATTCCTCCTGTCCTTTATGGGTGAAACTCCATAATATTCCWTTAGTTGCGTTCAATAAAGAAGGTGTTAGTCGTATTGCGAGTGTTCTGGGTATTCCAAAACAAATGGATTCGTGCACTGCTTCAATGTGTGAAAAWGCTTRGGRCAGGCCTGGTTTTGCAAAAGTTCTTGTTGAGGTTTGGGCTGTGGGAGACCTAAAACGGAAAATTGATGTTGAAATCCCAAACATTAATGGTGGTGAACCCGATAGTGTGCAAATTCAAGTAGAATACTTATGGGAACCGATCCAATGTACCCATTGTCAAATTTTTGGTCACAAGCTTTCGTCATGTGTCAAAGCTGCTAGTTTGAATAAAGGTAAACAAATTGATGGGCGCAAAGATGCTGATGGGTTTACTAGGGTGGCGAAAAAACAATGGAGGGTTAAAGGTGGAAATAAAACCGTATTATCTAGTGATCAAACGGATAATGGAAGAAAGGAATCAAACCCTATTGATGCGCCTTTGGGAGTGAATGCTGTAAGTCAAGGAAGGGAAATGGAAGAGAATATGGTTTCTMCTAATGTGGAGATGGATCCTCCTTTGCCAGAGGGGAGGGATGTGTTGGGTGAACCAGGTAAGAATTTTTATGGGCCTTCTTCTTCATCTTCTAAGTCTTCGATCCATGCTATGTCTACTCCTTCCCCTCTAATTTCTTCTGTGATTAAAAACTTTCGGTTGCCGAGACGAGGAGTAGTGATAAACCATGTTGACTCTAATCAGTTTGGTGTTCTTGTGACCTTAGGGGAAGAAAATTCTTGGGTGGACTCTCATGATGAGGTGGTCAATGATCTGACTGATGGTCAGGGGGAGAATCGGAATAATGGGGAGCAAGGAGAAAATCTAAACCCTTCCTCATGATGAAATTTGCTTCATGGAATATCCGGGGGCTTAATTCTCCGGTTAAACAAAAAGAGGTACGGAATTTTCTCCATTGTAATGATGTGTGTTTATGCTCCATTGTCGAATCTCATGTTTCTAAGGATTCTCTTGAAAGTGTTTGCTATAACTCTTTCGGTTAGTGGAATTGGGTTTCTAATCAAAACATGAGTGATTATGGTACTCGTATAATCCTTGCTTGGGATGCTCGATTTTTAGATGTCATGGTCTTAGAAGCTCATAAGCAATACTTAAATTGTAAGGTGCTTGTTCGGGGTAGTCAACATTATATTTTCGCTTCTTTTGTATATGGGGCTAATGTTTGTAATGACCGTCGTGTTGTAATGGGGGATTTTAATACCGTGTTATTCCCTCATGATGGATTCGGAGGGTCCTCTCGTCGTAACTTGGATATGGCTGATTTTTTTGCATTTGTAGAGGATGTGGATTTATTTGATTTACATTATACGGGAGTCCATTTTACGTGGAACCAAAAACCGAATTCATTGGGAGGTATCATGTGGAAATTAGATAGAGCTATGGGTAATGTTGAATTCACGTCTGGTTTTCATGATGTTAGTGTTCATTTTCATCCTCCGGGTCTTTCGGATCATGCTCCAGTAACGGTGTCTTTCAGATGCGGCACTTGGAAAAAAAGAAATGGGTTTAAGTTTGACAATTTCTTGACTGAACATCCAGGGTTTCTTCAAATTGTAAAGGAGGAATGGGGGAAAAATATCGAGGGTACTTTTATGTTTCGAGTGACTTCTCATTTAAAGGCGCTGAAGAGCCCTCTTCTGAAGCTTCGTCATTCGTATGGCAACCTTGGTAAGCGTGTTGCCTTTTTGAAGACTGAACTTGATCGTATCCAGATGGATGTTGATAATGATCCGTCTAATGTTGAGCTAGGCCAAGAGTTGGGTCATATTCGGGTTGCGTATCAAAATGCATGTTGGGATGAGAATTGTGCCGCGAATCAGCGTGCCAAAATTGCTTGGTTGAATGAAGGTGATTTGAATACAAAATTCTTCCATAAGGTGAT